TGAGCCAATTGTGAGTTTGGACACTCACCGATGACGTCACTGGTGGTGATGACAGCACGACGCAAAAAGACAAAGTGATAATTGGGGGGAAGCAGAACAAGAAACTCAGAAAAGATATATTTCTGGTGATTTCATCGTGATGGCGAGCCACTTAGTATGGCGGTCACATTGCAAGCTTGACTGATAGAATTCAGTCTGCACCAAAGAAAGGACTAGGCACATTACATTAGCGTCTAATCAAAGATTCAATCCTCAAAGACTGTACATCTGGATTTTTATGCATAAATTTACATAGTTACAATAATTATGATTTAATTCAGCACAGTAACGAAAGGAGATAAAAGAGACTATAATTTACAACATGATATTGAAGTTTGAAGGCGTGAATATAGATCACCAGGAGTATGGTAACAAAACTACATGGGATTAGAAAATAGGCTCTGAAAAGCTTTTGGAGATGGCACAGTGGGGCAGCTTCTATAACCTGAATCACAGAAGCGAAATAACCCATACATACACATTAAGATGATACAAAGAGCAAGCTATTCTTTTACACAATTTCAAATAAACTTTCAGTTAGTTGCGCTATTTTGCAGTAGTGAGGAACATTAGTCGTTAAAGTAAGTGATTTTAGTTGTATTGCTGAGATGAATACTTCACTTGCGAAACTTTACTTGTCTTCCCGGACAACAGATTCAGTGCCGACCTCATAAACAAATTCACAGAAACAATCGATTACACTTAATTTTGCTAAGACTGACAAACTTTTCATCCCTGGAGATTTCCCAGAGCACACTTCACACTGAAGCTGGTGTCCAAGATGTTCACCAGAAAGACAGTAATGGCTTCGAAAATTAGACAATTCGTCTCGGAGAATATAAGAACACTGAAAACAATTCTGATCAAAGAGAGAAAAAACATTGGTGCAGAATAACACGGATCCACTTTATTTCCTTGGTTCCCACCAGCTGAACACAACCTATAATCTTTAATGGATAAAAGTCAGAGTAAAATTTAACACACTTCTGTCATCAACAAGCATATTATAAGAGTGTCATGGTGAGATACAACATCAGGACGACAAGGCAACTGAAGTGTAAGTATATATATTGTTACAGTGGAGCTCCTAGAAAATCAATTGACAAGTTTGTTGTTAGGGTGGTAACAAAAAATTAGTAACAATTACATATTTGGATAAGAGATCAAAATTTACTGGGCAAGAAGTCAGATGAAAAGGTGATGATATAATATGGTGAGTAGAACTCACAGCGTCAAGAGAAATTATCTCTTATGGAAGTCAAACAGAAGAAACGAGACGAGGGGGAAGCTGGAAAGATAAGTTAATGAAGTTAGAAGACCAAGAGTTATTAAGGGATGAGTCACCAGGGTAATTGGAGTCCAACGACAGATTCCTTTTGGACATATAGGTCAGACTTCAGCGGTTTTATTGCGACATCCTCAGCTGACCGAAGAAGACTTGAGCTGTTTTTTCTGTTGATTATTTGGAAAGATGACAACACGTCTACTCAGTGTCCAGTGTCTATCAGGTGTTTGGTAATTGGATAGCTTAAACTAGTTGGTCTCTTTAACCGGAAGCTCTTTGGCACATGTTCGAAGAAGCTGACGTAGGCCCATCTTTTTGTTCTTCCAATGTAACTGCTCCCACAGATACATGTGAATTGGTAATATACAGTTGGAGGTAACATATGAGGGGTAATTGTCGATCTTTGACTGCACCAACGAAGACGTTCAGAGCAGAGAGACTAGTTTTGCTGCAAGATACGTCCTAGACAGGGCTGCGCTTAATCTTTTATTTATGATTCTCATAGTATCATCGCCTTTGAAGTCGAGCTTGATGAAAACTAGCTTCTTGCTGACCGTAGGTTCATTAAGTTTTTTACGTCCATTCTTACCATATTTGTCAATGAAACTTTGTGGATAACCATTTTCTTTTGAAGCAATTCTCAAGCAGCATTAGTTCACTGTCTAATTTGTCAGGTGAACATATTCTTTTCGCTTTGGAGAAAAGCGTTTTCACCAGCGTTCGTTTGTAACTTACTGGGCAGAAGCTGTTGAGTTTTAAGTAGAGACCGCTGCATGTATCTTTACGATATATCAATCTCAAGGGTGTCCCATCCGATTTCCCCTCCAAGTTTATATCTAGGAAGTGAAAATTATCAACGACTTCGAGCTCCATCGTGAAAATGATATTCTTATGTACACTGTTGCATAAGTCCAATAGAGAAGAAGCGTGATTCAAATCATTGCATACAATGAATGTGTCATATACGTACCTGTAGTAGGCGGTTGTTTCATCAATTTCACACTTGAGTTTAGTCCGTTCTATACTGGCCATAAACATATCAGCTAATACAGGACCCAATGGACTCCCCAGCGCCACTTCATCAACCTGGCGATACATTTTGTTGCCAAACTGGAATTGTAGATCCTTGGTACACAAACATGGGAAGCTGCCTAAATTCCAGTTTTGGCAGAAGAAGCAGGTCCGCATGTTGACAGATGATGTCTAACGTCTCATGCATTGGAAGTGTGTGAATAAAGAAGTCACATCAAAGCAGACCATGAGTTTACCGCATACCTTAAGTTGACTGACTTCAACGAACTGGAAAGAATCCTTCAGAGTATGTTTGGCTAGTCGTTGTCTAATAGGTTTCAACTTATCGGCTAACCAACGAGCAACTTTGTGGAACGCCGAATTCACTATTGACGGTATAAGTCTCATTGGGCAGTTCTTATTATATATCTTGGGTAGACCATACATAGGTGGTAGACGAGACCCCTAGGACTTAAATTCATTGTATGTGTGATTGTCAATCATTTTCTTTTTTAACAGCTCTCTGAGTGCTTTTGTGACTTTCTTTTCTGTCGAGTCTGTCATATCTTTCTTTTGGTTATTAATCTTGAATCTCAACGTCTCATAAAGAATGGATTCCATTTTTTGATATAGTCGACTTTATTCATCACTGCCACACCTGAACCTTTTTCTGATCACAGTATGACGATATCTTCATTGTTTAGCAAACGTTTAATTGCTTTTTGGTGCCCTTTCGTCATGATTCTAGACTGTTGAATTGGTGAACAAAGGTAGTGGCTGGAGATGTCAACTAGTTTGGCATCATTCCAAATAATCAACAGAAAAAACAGCTCAAGTCTTCTTCGGTCAGCTGAGGATATAGCAATGAAACCGCTGAAGTCTGACCTATATGTCCAAAACGAATCTGTTGTTGGACTCCAATTACCCTGGTGACTCATCCCTTAATAACTCTTGGTCTTCTAACTTCATTAACTTATCTTTCCAGCTTCCCCCTCGTCTCGTTTCTTCTGTTTGACTTCCATAAGAGATAATTTCTCTTGACGCTGTGAGTTCTACTCACCATATTGCATCATCACCTTTTCATCTGACCTCTTGCCCAGTAAATTTTGATCTCTTATCCAAATATGTAATTGTTACTAATTTTTTGTTACCACTCTAACAACAAACTTGTCAATTGATTTTCTAGAAACTCCTCTGTAACAATATATATACTCACACTTCAGTTGCCTTGTCGTCCTGATGTTGTATCTCACCGTGACACCCTTATAATATGCTTGTTGATGACAGAAGTGTGTTAAATTTTACTCTGACTTTTATCCATTAAAGATTGTAGGTTGTGTTCAGCTGATGGGAACCAACGGAACGGAATAAAGTGGATCCGTGTTATTCTGCACCAATGTTTGTTCTCTCTTTGGTCAAATTCATTCAAAGGAATTCTTTTACTAATATATTGAAAATATTTTGCTGCTCAATAAAGGAAAGATATTAAGGATAGAGATAAAATACTTCTTTTTTTTAATTTTTTTAAAGTTAATTTTCACGTGTATTTCTCTTCTATGTAACGATATGATATCATCTTTTTTTTCGTTTATTGCGTTTCATATGTTTTTTCACAGGTTTGAACGTAGAAAGGTATTTTTTGGTATCTTCACTATCGATCACTTTCTTAGTTCACTTTCTATCTATGTTTTCGTTTAAACGAGCCTAAGTTCAAAATTTGTTTAAAACCTGGTCTGAACTGGCTTCTTGAATGCAACTATTTGACTTTCCCCCTATTCACAGCTCATTTTGACTTAGATTCTCCCTACCTAAGGAGCTATACGAAACTAAAGAGTATTAAGTACCTGTCATTTGATCGTTTGGAATGCCTTGGAAGTATTCACCAACAATTTTCTGAAGAATACAAGCCAGAATAGACAGGTTACAATGTAAACTCGTTTGAAATTTAGACATTTGATGAGTTACAATGTAACAGCCTACGAATTTTAAGGCCTACTAATCGTTCAAACGGAAGATATTTGAAGGGAGTCATCTGTTTCACTTAACTAGGAAACAGTGTTCCAGCTACCAGCGACACTGATAAGGATGTCAAATGCAAGATAGCATAGTCGAGGGAAACCTTAATCACACTGAAATCATTGTGGGAATCTGATTCACTCCGGATTTTCAACACTGTTTCTCTATGGTTCAGACATCTGGCACGAGACTCACCAAAAGCAGTTTCAACAGGCTTCAGACTTTTACCACACTGAAGGTCAGATGACAAGCCATAAGGTATTAATAACAAAGAGCTCTGGAAATCAACCAGCCAAGAACTTATCACTCTAGTGACAGGACAAGCGAAGCAAACCCTCTAGCAGAACTCGAATGAGAAGCGGTGAGCTGAATGCGCTTCCGAGGGTGATTGTTTAGAGAGGAAATGAAAGCCTATGGGCAGTCGTGGAACCTGATAAAGAGGACTACAGAGAACTGAATGAAAAGGAATTATGCTGCTGAGACCCTATTTTTCACTCGGAACCTAAAAGAATAGTAATAAAGATAATACTATGGAATAATAATCCAGACACTAAGTCGTTAGTCAAGCTACAGTCTTATAACACACTCCGGTTATATCAGTTATTTCCTTCCTTGCATTTATTTCTTCAATGTAGTATAAAAGCAATAATGACGAGAAATCAATTTATTATCAAATATGAATAAATAATTAATAATAATAATAATAATCCATTTCCCTTTCTTGACTTCCTTTATGTCTGTTTAATTAATAACTCATTTTCAGAGCACAAACACATGCATGCATACACGCAGGCACACACGCACAAACATACACACAAATTTATATATATTTATATATGTATAATTACATGCAGGTATATAAATAAACATTGATACATGCATAAAAGGTAATTTCTTATTGAAGAAGAAATAAAAATTATGTTCAAAAATGAAACAAAAATTAACGCCGAATAAAATGTTAGGAAAGACAGGCATATGCGTAGTTCATCGATTTTTGATTTGTCTTACGCAAATACGCACACACACACGCACACACACGCAGACGCACCCTAATAGGAATTGCAGAAAGACGCAAGCGAAGAATAAGAAGACGACGAAGAGCAAAATCTAGAAGAAGTCGAATCCATATGAGAACAAAATGCATAGGGTTTTTCCCTATTTTTGTCAATAGACAGAATGAAATAACAACCATTTAACTGAAACAGAATCTCATTCATTTTTAATTGTTATTTTATATATTGTTGTTATTTATTGATTGATGCCAATCGTGTGTTTGTGTGCGCGTCTCAACATGTGTCCATTAATATATAATTATACAAGTGAACATTGAATAGTGATGTGTTTTAATTTAATTTATAATTCGATTGTTTCAAATTCTGTTCTGTTCCAGGCAAATTTGAAATTGTTCATTGTTTCAACAGAATCATTATCAACTGAATATAATTACCTCTCATTAATTGACTTTTTATTGAATAATAATAAAAGCTAATTAAACTGTGGAAGAAATAAAAACTAAGGTGGCTGAGGAGGGTGGTTGGCAGTCGAACAGGAAAGAAAAAGAAGAAGGAGGGAAAATCAAATTTTGAAAAGTTACACTACTTATTCACTTATCTATTTATTTATTTATTCATTCATTCCTAATGTGTTTTTTAATTTCAAGAACCAGATAAGAGAAATCCTTGTGTAAAATTTAGTTCATTTGATAAAATAGCATTCTATTCTAATGAGAATATATATGTATATATGATACACGAAAGTACCAATGGAAGAAAGAAGGCTTGACTAATTAATATTTAATGTGTAGACTGCAAACAGCTCAGTAAATAAACAAACAAAGAAACAAAGAAAAAAAAAAGAGGATGTTTCAAATGATGTTCATATTCAATCTTGCAGTAAACAGAAAAATGCGATGCTACTTAAAGATGTGTATGTACGTATGCATATAAGTATGTGTATGTATAAAATGAGTGTTGTTCATCAAATCTAGACGAAAATATACTGTGTAGACAATAGAACACAATACACCATTAACTTATTGATGAGCGTTGATTACACATAGACATTGCATCAAGAAATAACAAGAAAGGAACACATAGTGATTCAATAAAATATTAACATATGAAGGTCACATGAATATTCTGATGGATTGGTTGTGTGCATGCAGGTGTGCACACATGATGTATTTGTGTTAGTATAATTGTCTGTGCTGATTAACGATGAAATAAATTCACCAACATATCAATTGGAAGAGGAAATATAATAGTTGAGTTCTTTTCAGCTGAAATTGCACTTAACGTTTGTAAATAACGTAATTGTAATGCAAATGGTGATGTTTTAATAACATCTGCAGCTTGTTTTAAGGCTAGAGAAGATTTCTCTTCTCCTTCAGCAGCTATGACCTAAATCAAAAAAAAGTAAAAGAGAATGAAATTTAAATTTAATTTTCAAATTGGTGCAATGAGTTAGTAATGCCGTGAACATTCACTAGATTCTAATGAACACCACCCTATCAAAGGGACTACACATATATCATACCCTTGGATTCTGAGTGGAACATAGGGCTTCAACAACACATCTCCACTTTGTTCTATTTGATGCAGTTCTCTTCAACTGGGCCTGCGATTGCTTATTATCTCTTAACTCCTACTACATTGTTCGCGATGTCATTCGATGGCCTCCTCAGCGTATACCCCTTTTATCCTACATATTTGTTGAGCAATAGGCTCTTGGTTGGTTTATTTCACTCCAAAGTTTCTTGTTGCTAATTCTCTCTGGCCTGCCGTTTCATCTTCCGTATGGAGCCAGAGAAGGAAGTTCAAGTTTCTGACCCGTATAGAAGGACCGATTTGACGTTGGTGTTGAAAATCCGAATCTTGCTCCTTATGCTGGTGGAGTGCAGAAGATTTCCAAATTGGTTTCAGGTTGATGAAGGCGTATCGTGCCTTTCCGATTCTGGAGGTTTTGACATCTTCATCCGTCCTTAGATAAATGAATGGCGTAACCTCTGTCAAATCACTCCCGTTCATGGTGATTGGTGATGATTGTCGTTGTTGTTGTCTGGTTATCTTCATCACCTCCATCTTCCCTATGTTCACATGCAGTCCTGCCTTCGCCGCTTCTTCAGCCAGTTTGTTGGTTTTCGTCTGCAATTCTTCTTGATCGATCTTATAATACGCTCTGAGTGTTGTTTCTTTTTTTATTTCTAGACGAATTCACTTTAGAAAGTCCATTTCACACTGATGTAAATTTGTTTGGGACTGACTAGCAGTCTAATCTAAAATGACTTTTCCGTCTTATTCTGGGACTTGTCAGCTAGATATACCTTTATTCCCGGTAAATAGTGGTGTTCTCATGGACGCTGGAGTCGTTTACACGCATCGTTTCAGTCATCAAAGCGTTGTGTATCTCACTTTGTTCAGTCACTTAACAGACAAAGAAACACAGTTTTCTTATGTTTAGATCATCAACACCTGTTCAGCGAGCATTGTCAGTTATTTTGGCATAGCTTTCAGATAAGTGCTTTGTTTTTCAAGTCACTTCTAATCGAAAAAGACATATTTTTGCTTTGTTGATTGTTTCATGTACACCAATTAGGACTGAAAAATCTACGCTGTCAGAATAATAACAACCAAAATCTTGAGAGAAAATATTGGCAGTATGAATGTTAAGAGTTTTGCTAGTGGTATCACAATTATTCCTTTCCGTTTAGCAGTAGTAAATGTAAATTCATCTCTGAAATTTTTTTCAACGATTTAAGTGTTAAAAAATTACAGGTGAAAGTTCTCCACAGTCTTCTTGAACTGTAACCTTATAGATATTGCAGTTGATAGAAAGTATGGAAGATTGTTTTATTTTCCTTGCTGTTGTCTCGTGGAGCATGTCTAGCTTATGACATTGCTAGAAGTCTTCAAAAGCTGGTATGTGATCAATAAGTTTCATGTACAATCATGTACCTTTGTATGATGTTAGGTTAATTCTCTATGCTAACTTGTAATTTCGCTTTGGCATATTGTTCAGCTTTATTTTTTCATCCGTTTTACTTGAACAGATAGATGTCTCTGCGTTACAATGATTAATAACTTGGAGTTACTTATCTAGTGGTGGCTGGCACTGAAATCGACAATGCACATTTTGTCCTATCTAGGACTTATTGGCTCGAAGTACCTTCATCCATTTTTTCCAGTGAGACCCTCAACCCTTGACTCCACTGCTAACTACACTGACAAACAATTGACCCAAAGTTTTTATTCTGATAACATCAAGGTAATTGTTCAAGGAGCCTGTGTGCCAAAATGTGGTTGATCAATTCAATCAAGATGTAGTAATGGGAAATCACAATTATGAATAATTAATAAAGAATCATACCAATTACAAAAGAGGTGGCTGTCACGGCCTAGTGGCCTAATCAATCACGATCTGCTATTTGGGTCCTGCGTTTGAGTCCCAGTGGGAAGAAAACTCGCACAGATACCAGCATATTTGGCTGACTGGTCTCAAGTATGACAAAATATATGCGTCTTAAATTCCAGTGCTAGTGACTACTAAACAGGTGAACTTAAGTTATTCCTGTTGAAACGAAAGAATGCGAAACTAATGCCGAATTGTTTTGTGTAAGGACATCTAGTTAAGTAAATAAAAGGAATTGAGTTCCTTCAAGGTTGCAGATACGCCTTGCTGACGAGTGCCAACTAGCACAAAACCTAGGTCCAAGGCTTCCTGCCGATTGCCTCCAACCATCTTTTTTTATTCCCTTCACGTTCTCCAGTGGAACATAGGGCTTCAAGCTAGTGGCTTGAAGTTTCTGTAGCAGTGTTTATTTTACGGGATGGGGTTGCTAGCCTCATACCCAACCTTTCCTCTTCACCAGCGTTATTTCTGGCTTAGCGAGGTAAAGGAGTGCGTCGGCCGGGGATCGAACCCCGAACCATGTGCATGGTCGGCGAGCGTCCTAACCACTATGCCACCGACGCACTCCAACCATCTAATACCAGGAATTGATTTCATTTGTTGTTTTATTTGCAAAGTGTCTCTGTCTGTCTGGAGTAAAAACTTACACCACTCCAGTGACTCAAAGATTCACCGACAAATGGATTATTCAGATGATGGTCGACTTTTTGCAAGTTTTTGGTAGACACACTAATTGTTAAGTGAAGATTAATCAGTGTCGTTTTTCTCTAGTCATGAATGTCAACCGTCTACTATTGATTAGGTGAGGAGACTGGTCGTCATCACACACCGATGAACTTCTGATCGAGGTTAGATCTGTCTGTCTGTCTGTTTTCGACATAGAACTTTGCACTGATGTGCGGCAGTTCAAGTCACCACACTCCATGTAGTACACAAAGCAAGAGAAGAAAGTAGAAGAAATGCATAATATAGAAAGTAAACAGAGGTATGAGACAAAGGTATAGTAATAACGAAGAACAAAACAGTTTCATTGGAAATCATAAGTCACAAGGAGTGGATGCATCTGCGCCACTGAGAACGATTTTGAGCCATGTCACCAATTGTTTGCAACCATTGGTTTTTACCGTCCCGAGGACCCCAACCAGGAAGTCTACACCTTCCTACGTGGCTTAGACTAACTGTTGTAGATTTCTTTGACTTGTGCCATGTTTTCATTTGACCGCCGCTAGCTCTTTTCCAGCCTGACCCTATATCAGCTAACATTACCCGTCGAGGAAGGCGATGACTAGGCATAGGTAGCACATGTCCTAACCATCTCAGTCGATGTAATTTCGCAGTCTCGTCGACTGATTTCCCAGCCTTACCTAGCACTCGACGCCTAACCTCAGTATTGCTCACCTTATGATACCACTTCACGCGGGAGATAGAACGCAGACACCTATGATCGAAGACAGCTAATCTTTTCATGTCTTCCGCTCTCAATGGACAGGTCTCACAGCCATAAAGGAGGACGGAGCGGACTGTTGAGCAGTACACACGCCCTTTGGTCGATAGCCAGTCGGATATCACGTCTACTAAGCCAGAGACGGCGTAAATTGGCGTATGCGAACCTAGCCCTCTGTATTCGTGCTGAGATTTCGTCAGCGATCAACCAGATAGCGCTGGCTGATGGTACTTCCCAAGTAAGTGAAGCGGTCAACGTGCTCTACCACTTCACTTCCTATTTCTAATCTAGGGGTCGGTGAAGTCCAATCCTGCAGCGTCATCTTACATTTTACAGGGGCGAATCGCATGCCAAACATACGAAGATTGTTGCTCAGGGTGTTCAGTAGACTCTGCATTTTGTCAGAGTCCTCGCCTAGAAAGACTATATCGTCCGCATATTCTAAGTCAACGAGATTCTTCCCTGGTAGCAAGTCAATCCCTGAGTCGCTGAAGTGAGTTAGGGTTAAGTCCATTAGTACATCTATGATGAAGTTGAATAGGAATGAGGATAATGGGCATCCTTGACGGACGCCACTAGTCGTCACCACTTCAGATGACAACTCGCCATAAGCCCTCACCTGGCTGGATGAGTACGAGTAGAGTGCCTTAATCAGTGCAATGTATTTTCTCGGCATTCCCTTTACAGCCAAGCATCGCCAGAGAACCTCCCGGTCGACAGAATCGAATGCCGCCTTTAGGTCAAGAAATATAATGATTGTCGGACGCTCGAGGTTAGATAGCTGCAACCATGTTCAAACTCCAGTTTGTTTTAGTTGTACTGTCAAACAAATCGAGTTGAATTTCATTTTATTCTACGTGAAACTAAAATGTAAGGTGATAGACAGTCTAATCCGGTATTCTAACAGTTTATTGAAGTTTTAATTATTATTATTTTAACAAAATGTACATGTAATACGAAGATGATATACTTCAAGGCAAACTGCACATGTATAACTGCTTACCTTAGCCCGAGCTTCTCTTGTAGCCTCAGCTTCAGCCGCCATAGCTCTTTGTAGTTGTACAGGTAGGCGTACATCTTTTCTAGAATGAAATGGTAAAGAGAAAATTAATATTTTTCAAAACAAAAAAACACACGAGTGGAATCTTTCAAAATAAATAAACAGGTTATTTTGAGAATATTCAAAAGTTTGATCGATGCGGATTTCATTGATTTCAGGATAGATTTCGTGACTGTTTGAGATCATTTAAAGAACTGTTGGAAACTACTGAACATTGGATGGTTGCTTGGCTTTGGTTTACGCCTTTTGAGCAATAGCAAACTGATGACTTCATGATGACTTCCTGACATTCAGACACTTGATAGGACTGATTGATTCGTCATTTCTGGGACTCACCACCTGGTAGTATATGGACGCCAACCTAGACGCTATCACTAGTTAATCATTACATCTGTCTGACACACCACTATCATACAAAATATAAAGTATATATTTTGGTTTTGAATTTTATAATAATCTGCTATGTTGGAAAAGTTAGCTTTCTTTAACCATCCACCGTGAGCAAAAGTTACAATATCAGACTTAAAACGCCTATTTTGAACAATGGTGATCTATTTTTGAGCATTATCAGTCATATATATTTAAGTCTTGGTTAAATTTCACTGAATAGACAGATGGCACCACACGTCAGTATATTTTACCACATATTCTTAAATTAAGTACTGTGTATGTCTGTTTGTATATGTGTCGGTTGTTGAATTTCCAGTATGCCATTCAAAAAATCATTCAAGTGAAAAAAGCTTCCAACACTTATTACACAATATACCAGGTGTAGACCATATAATTCATAGTATACAAGGCTTGAGTTTAGTGTTACATTTTCAGCTCCAGCTAGTCGAATGGTGAAACTCACGTTCCCATGCAGGAAACTGTCTTCCATCAGTCAAATTATCCATCTGAACTAGAAAAAAATGTTCTCAAGCATATAATATATATATGTATTATAAATCTACAAAATCTGTCATAATTAACATTCCATTTAAATTTGTGAAGCAAAATTTACAGAAACGCCTGGTTGCTTTTGTAGTCTCAAGCTTACTGACATCCAGAGGTGAACTCATTATCCCCATGAGATTCCCCAACTTTTTAAATCAATAGTGAAATTAGTGAGATTTTACTACTAATCCTTCTAAGTGGATTGTGTTCAAAGAAATGCTTACCAAATTGGACATGTTACGTTGGCTAAAATCCTGGGGTTGCTGATACATTTTGAAGTAGTAACTCCTTGTAGTATTTAGGTTCATTGTAGTAATTTTTAACAAATGCTGATTTAGTTCGAATGCTACTGACCTCAGTTATAGGTAGCTGATTAATGGAGCTTCGGTCATCTATCTTGAAATTCACCTTTAATGAGCACAGGGATATTCAGTATTATAATTATTGTTTTGAGGTGTATTTCTGCAATGAGACTAGAGCAACTCTAAAGGAAGACACACTTTTGTACAATTGAGTCCACTGTTTGTGATGATATTAGATGGTTGGAGGCAATCGGCAGGTTTCGTGCTAATTGGCACTCATCAGCAAGGCGTATCTGCAACCTTGATGGAACTCATTTCCCTTCTGAGATTCGAACCCGCGTCACCCAGTGCTGCAGTCACAGACGTTACCACTGAGCTATTCGGGCTCACGATTGACGTCCTGTAGGACTATAGTGGATATTTTGATTTGACACTAGTGACTAGTGTGATGCGTCTGGTCCTCTCTTTGGTGCAGACTGAATTCTATCAGTCAGTTTGTAATGTGGCCACCATGCTAGGTAGCTCGCCATCACGGTGTAAATTGTTTGTGATGATATTAGATGGTTGGAGGCAATCGGCAGGAAGCCTTGACTGATAGGATTCAGTCTGCATCAAAGAGAGAACTAGACGCATCACACTAGTTACTAGTGTCAAATCAAAATTTAGTCCACGTTAATCACACAAGTCGATAATGAATCAAACATTTAGTATTTAAACATAAACCTGAACAGATCATCAGACTAAACTACTGGTTCGAAACTGGTCCTGGTGATTTCAGTTTTCGTCTCACCGATAATCGTTACCCACCCTCTGAATAGACTAGACAACGTAACTTTACTCTAGCAAACTGTTATGATATGGTGAGGAGGTAGTTGTAGTAATAATTAGAGTTGGCAAGACTCCATGAGTTTTTATTAATGTGGAGGTTTTTTTTTCAAAACAAAACAATAAAAGATTTATACACAATTTTTTATTGACTTACACTTCAACACGTTCTACTTTTACACCCCATGGGTCAGTTGCATCATCGAGCATTGTCTACAGATAATAATTATAGTAATAATAACAGAAAATGAGAGTGTATTAAGTTAGTTTATATTTTTTGATGAATTATAAAAGAGTTCATCATGAAAGCTTTGTTAGAGAGATTAAACTGATGAGTTAATTGCGGGCAGCCAGGTGCTCAAGCGTTGTTTAAAAACAAAAGACTACCTGTATCTTAATTCGTCATCGCGTAGTGACCAATAGCATGTGTCTAGGCATTAGAGAGCATTAATTACTTCGAGACTTCAGATACACCTTGCTGGTGAGTACCAATAACCACTAAAACTAGACCAAGTGTTTCCTGTAGGTTACAACAAGCTACCTAAGACCATCACACCGACTAATTTGTGCTTTACTTAGTCACGTTAGATACACCTGATATAACTACCCTCCAAAATACTTGCAGTATAAACAAAACTATATGACTGGCCGTTTTCCTGAGAGTAACACCAATTAGTTCACTATAGAAAATGACAAGAGACAACTAGTATAGAAAGTGTGTAAATGACATGGTATGATGCGTATTTAGTGAAGAAAAAGCTTGAAGAAGAATACGTATTTATACTCCTAATTTTGCTTAATTTTCATTTGACATCATTTTTTAACCTTAACATAGATATCCTGTACTGTTTCCGCACGTTTACGGTTCTTTCTGTGTTTCACACTCACTGTAAAAACCAAGCTCTCACTGGTTGTTAACTCTTAACTTATCAGCGTATTTAGTGTTTGTCAGGGTAATTTGAAAGCTGTATATTCGCCATCGTTTTCAACTGTTCTGATCGTTCTTTGAGATGGTGGAAGCTGTCTCGTTAGTGGTCCATTTTCTCTCTAGTTTTCGCATGCCCGTGATACTGTTGTGTTATTGCGTCTGACATTATGATTAGCTACCAGAGAAGTTTTCGTTAATGCATTAGGTTCGTATAATTCACAGTCCAGTAGGTCATTTTACCTGTAATATCAATTACTCACAATCGATTCAGTAAATAATACTATCTCACTGTAAATCATATTACATATAAAACGTGACTATCTACACTCTACGAAGAATTATTGCGAAACCACTCAATTTGTTATACTGCACGCCTCAAACAGTAGAGGCTAACATGTAGAAAGATTGACGTATTAAAACTGGATTAACGACATAATAGGCACAAAGAAGAAAAGAAATAACCAAAAAAGAGGGCTTTAACTGTTACGTTTAAAATAAAGACAAAGTATTAACTTTGTTCTGTATTGGGCATGATTTTTGAGAATCTGCTTCAATGTCCTTTGGACTTTCACCAGAAAACCTACAAATCCTTACCTAAACACTGTATAGGCACAGCTATCATCAAGCCAGTTAGTAATCTGAAGGTCAATGTTTGGATCCCTAGTGTAATCATGGGCGTGTGCACCACTGAGGCGTCCCAAGCCATAATGAAACAACTGTTTAAGGCTTCCTAGTTTTCAACGGCAATGATTCATCACGATATCTACGCTAAAATTAACCATACCTTCACAAACCCTGATTCTGGATATTAACTATAATCTATTATTCTGTTATACTTATAAATATATGCATATATAGCTTAATTAAATGACTTTACCGGAAATGTAGTGTTTTTCCCCCTCGTTGAGTACTTCTCCTACTCTATGATTTATTAATTATTTAAATGTATTAATAAGTGTCAGTTTGTGTTTTCTTCCTCTCTTCCCTGCATATATATATATATATATATATATATCTGCACATATACACACACTTGTAAGCAAAGAAGTGTAGCTTGTCAATTAGAAGAAAAAAACTGGCCTTATCGACATAATTTACTATAAAAGATTCATTCTCTCTGCTCATCAAATATCTGAGCATTGATAAATGTGTTGGCTTCCCATAGGCCTAATTTGTCTTCTTCAGTAAACAGATTAAGGTAGAAATGATGGATAATAAATTTCATTGTATATATATTTGTACGCCTACATATCCATCCAATCGGGAACCATGATAAATTAATAATATCCAGTTTTTTTTGGATTTTTACGGATTTTGATTAGTTTCATCACTTTAGATTTCGGTATTTGAATCACTGAGAACAAAACAGAACTGGACAGCTGTTTCACGCTGAGTTTATGATTCTTCGGCAGCATGCAACCATGATTGAAAAAGGTTACCTGCCAAGTATGTTGAGTATTCAACCGCTTGGCGGGAAACCAACAGCCGATGAATTCTGACTGCCGTCATCGATGAGCTCCTCATACTCAGTTGCATGGACCCGAAATCTGACGAATTTTCATAATAATTTTAGGAAGTTAGCCAGTAATGAGTAGGCAGAACAGTTCCATCCTAGGCTAGAATAGATCCCGACTTCCTTGAGGTGTTTAGTAGTCCACGGAGCAATCTGCTTTGAAATTATTCAAATCTCCTCAAATCAAAAATCTGAATATAATTTTTATCGTCATCAAGATAAACTTGGTAAATAAGCTGAAATCTGTTTTTCTCGAAATTTCAAACTGCTCGGTGGTACGTGGAGTGCATAGGGTCAGCTTGCATTGCTTCAGCCAGTTAGGGATGTATTAAGCATACTAAGACACTGCTTACTTTAGCATACTGATTTAGCTAAAATGGTATTAGGCTGGGATAAATCAAAAGGGCAATCAGTTACTGGTCATTATCATCATTACAAGTTGTACAAAGATTTACCACTTGTCTGCTAAATATCTACAAATCACTGAAGCTGAATCTCACACGCCTCTTCAAGTGATTCCATCCAGAATTTATTCTCATTTGAATTTCCATAGTGAACTTCTAAGAATGGCCTATGACTTTATTGATTTAGTTTTTGCTAATCAACTTATCTTTTATGTGGACTGATGTCTACTTGATGTGGCGATTTGTGATATGGCAACTTGAAGAGCTGCACACTAATGTTAAATCTCATGATGACAACATAGGTTCGTTTAAACTTAAGCTGTACTTTTTCAATATTGTAAGAGCCACAATTTTTCCTCTTCACTAGCAAAATATGTGACATGCAATTCAGTCAGATTTGAACTTAATACGACATCGCACTCATTTTGAGGATAAAAGTTTTCCCCTTGTGTAAGACCATACAACTAGATACATCCACACAAATTGCCAAGCCCAAATCACTATAAACCTGTAATCTCATGTAATCAGTATTGGTAAATTGACTTTCAGACGGGGAAAAAACCTGAGTTACCTGCTGTTGCCTGCTAAGTCACAGAGTCGACTTCCAAACAATAAGTACCAAGATCAAATCCTGTGGAATCCACTTCAGTCTCAGCAACTAAGCAGTATCACTAACCTTCACACAACAACTATGATTCATAGCCGAGTGCATGGAAAAAAACCTGTTCAGTACAAGGCTTATTTTCAGTGTATGACCCTCTTTTCTTTTTTATTATTTTCAAATTAATATTCCTTATTGTTTAAAACAGAATTATTTTCGTTCAACATTTATCACTTATGCATGGACAATTGAACAGAAGTAAAATGGAATATACCAAGACAGACAAACAAAAAACTCACCTGCATAGATGTTGAAATTGACTCACGTTCAGATAGTATTTCAGCTAAATTCTTTGTGCCTAAAACATTCCTAAGTGTTGTTGCCGCTAGTAACCTAGTCGATCGGTCGGCATCTTCAACATTTGTGATCGCTACAACAGGATTATAAATACGATAATAGACAACAGCATCAACAGCCACAGTCACTGAATCCTTAGTAAGTACCTTTATAAGTGGAGATGAAAAGTTGAACAAAAGAATAGTAAGAATGGTCAGTAAGAGATCAGAAGTAAGAAATCTAATGTCATTCAACAATTCAGTGAAATATTTCTGACCTGAATGAATTTTGGTTAAGTTATTTCGCATTTCTATTGTGATTAATTTTCATTGTACTGAAACTCTCGGTTTCTGTTTAAATATTGCCCTCAAATCCAACTTCATGAACCCGACAAGTTGCGAATTCTTAAATCTACCTCAGGAAGTTTGTTCCGTAGCCAACTGGTAATAAAGAGTCGGGAATTCAGACTCAGCTATTCAGTGTTCCTTGATTTTAAGTGGGCCTGATGTAGATTCACGATGAAATCTAACTTGTTTTCAATCCATTAAGTCGCCAAAACACTGACCCAAAGGGTATTAGTGCTTCGGAACTAACTGAATTCTCATAATCCTTCCAAAATGGAAGAAAACAAGTTTCTTCATAGCTAGCCAAATAATCGCCAGAGTAGACAATAATAAATAGTTCTTGTAAGTGACTTTCGGCTCTAGATGAAACCCAAATCGAAAGCAATCAAATCACTATAAACCAACATATGAAGGGTAATCCATTGATCACTAGTGATTGATTATGAGTCGGACTTCCTTGAGGTGTAATGAGAAGTTGCGAATAGCAGAGATTATGAAGTCAGATATTGGGACAGATAATCGTCGATGAACTTGGCCAACGATAGGGCTACATATCGCAGATTGGCAGAGACTGGAATTTATAGGCCATTAGATTTCCCCCCCAGAGGATGAGTGATAAAGTGGAGATCCTGAAATCGATCTCTTGTGAGGTCGCGGGTGCATACTGCTTAAGAGCCTCAAACTAAGACGAAATAACTCTCCTGCATTCCATGGTCTTCGCAAGTTCTGCACCTGGTGTAGGTTGATGAAGAAAACCAGCTTGGAATCAATCATCTGCTGAGAAATCAACACTTGAAAATAAATTATATAGTGAACATTTCTGTTCTTACCTTTGAAATATATGAACATATAAAAAGATTTAACCATGTATGACTTACTTCTTGTGGTGGGACATCAAACGTTACTGTACGTAAGTCAACTTTACGAATGGAGTCAATACATGGTGCAATAAAGAAAAGTCCTGGTCCACGAGCACCACCAGGTAAAATTCTTCCCAGTCTAAATATAACTGCCCGTTCATATTCAGCTACAACCTACAGTGGTAATAGGAAGTGTAAAATGCAAAGAAGATTACAAGTGAACAGTCTAATTCATCTGTATCAATCCTATAGTGTAGTTTGTACAATGAAGTTCTGGTACTTGTAAATCAATAGTTCCAAATCTAAATTTTCTTCGCAATTTCCATCATCACACCACGACAAGTTAAAGACATTTCGTGATACTACCAGTGGTCCACTAAGCACGTCCAGAGAGGTTCTACTTATGGGTTCATGAATAAACACTCACAAATTATATTAGATAATAACGGAACCAATATTAAAATATCATGAGTCTTTTCGAGACTGTGCTTATCACAGTGGTACTGGGAAGAAGTCGGAGAAAATGTCAGATCCCTAACTGATTTATTTTCCATGTTGTGATTTCCATTTGCAAATCTTCCGCTGTTAAACGAAACATCGTTATCATTGCGAAATTATAAAGAAGTTACTTATTTCTGAACATAACTTCATGAATACTCACTTAAAAATGAACGTAAGAGTTCTCTCTGTTGACATATAAGCTTCTAGTGTAGAGTCCTCAATGATGTCTGAAGACAACTTGGTGTTATATTATTCTGTTGCTTGAAATGACTGGCGTTGCATTCCAGTCTCAGTGTGGGACACCTCTCTCCACTGGGATATGGGCAACTCTAGCTGAAGAGTCCGAAATATGACGAAACACACAACCTAGATTCCGGTGCTACCCATTATTAACAGAATGAATGTATGAGTAAATTAACGTGTTCTTTTTTCAAACTACCGTCTACACTAAAATATATAAAATTATACAACACTCGTTCCACATTGAGGGGTGAGGGCAAGGGCGATTTTGACCGCCAAACGAAGACAAACGATGTCTTATAATTTGTCCTCATTTGAAGATTTTATGAATTTCTTCAAGACCAAAGGAACATCCTATCAGTAAGCACTGATAACCAGGGTTTTGTTTAATTCTACTATTAACAGCTAACAGACTTGAATAAATACTGACTGTATATAAGCCATATCAGTTAACAACAGTCGACTGTTCGATCTTATGATGAACGTTGTTAGGATACACATCAGAATTTTTCAAACTAACTTCCTTTTCTGTCTCTTCCTTGTGAATATGTGATTAAAAGTCGATGGACTAATTAAATGACATCATGTTATTTGCTTTCCTTCTCTCTTCCCATCGTTTTTTGCACCTTGTAATTTTATTCCCCAAATTTTAACAGTACAAACCGACTAAATCCTTCTGAGTATTTTTTTTTGCTGTGTTGTAATTACATGTGTCAATCAAATGAAGAACACTAACGAGAGGATATGTTATGTATTGTTTTTCTTTTTTTAAATTCTTGTTAAATTATTCTAAGACTCGTAAATAACACACTTTACTGTATTATAATACTCAGTAATTACTTTTTGGTTGAAACGGATGATACTTTGGCTACTCTTAAGTGTTTTTTTATATTTTATTGTCTTATTGAGTTCGACGATTCAGGGAACTACCAAATTATCGCTCGAAGGTGCAAAATAACTATTTCTAGCATTAGATTATACTTCATAGAATACCTAAAGAAGCAAGTGTTTATTGAGAGATCTTAGACATTTTCACTTAGGTTTAGTAAAAATGAGAAGGATTTATAGCTAACAGGGAGGATTTTGGTGTTGTTGAATACATGCAGATAGGTGGTTTAATTTTTCTGTTCTGAATGTTTTGTCCAAAGAGAGTTAAAACACACTACAGCTATGTCATCCTTAGAATAAAACAAAATCGTCTTCGGAAAAAATTGATGAAACAGTCAATACTAATATTATTATTCCTCCTTGGAGTTCCAAGTGGAATGTAAGGCTTCAGTGGCACATCTCAATTCCACACTCTCTCCTGCCACCATTTTAGCTGGTTCCACGATCGCCTATAACCTTTAACTTCCTTCTCACGTGATCTCCTCATTATGACCCTCGGATACCGAACCCCACTCTTTCCCATTCGAGTCTTACTTGATGTTTTGCTTGGAATGTGATCTTACTCAGCGGTCTCGTCAGCATACTTCTAATCAATCTCCATCTCCTTCCCCGTATTTATTGTGCTATCGGGTCTTGGTCAGTGTGTTCTCAGATTTCTTTATTTCTTATCCTTTCTAGCCATCTGATTTTCAGTATCAAGTCAGCGAAGTTTGCAGTCTGTTGGAAGGGCTTTTGGGGACTAGCGCACTAAGTCTCTTAATCGTAAAAAAGCACTGACTGGCTCCAAATTAATACTGAAAATTCGTATCTGGTTTCATTTGAGAAGTCCTGTTTGCAGAGTAATGAGGGTTGGACTTAGTTTCTCACTTTTCTCTAGCTTACACATCCTCATCTGAGCCGCCACCTATTATTGATACGATTCTGCCTAGGTCAGGTGGATGAAAAAGATAGCTTCCTTCAGATTTCGACTTTTGGTGGTGTTTGTTCATGTTGACAGTTGGGTATCTTAGTCATCTCTGTACACTTGAAGTCCTGTGTTTGCTGACTTTGTGCCAACTTGTTGACTTTCCCCTGGTTTGTCAGACATGGGACATAAATCATTTGCGAAATCCAGAACTTCTAGAGTAGTTTTGCCAGTCTAACGTGTGCCCATCTTCTCGCTCCAGTCTAGTACATCACAGTCGGTAGAATCATTAGTTAATCAAAACCAGCAAGACTCAATAAAATGACAGGGAAATTCGTGAAGAAAAGCAATCAAAGCTACAGTCATCAAATGTTATTACTGCTGTCCATCTGTAGCAGGTGAAGTTAACGGAAACAACCTCTTCTTTTCTATACATATGCAGATGTTAATTTTCTATAGACAGCAATAATATACCAGTTTATAGAAGGTGGTTGTGGTGAGACAATGACAGACTCATGAATGATCTCATGAAATTCAAGTGTTGGTTTGTAAGGATTTGATTGGTTACACGATTTTTATCATGAACTGACATTAGTTAGAGAACCATTGGAAAACCTGGGAGTACTGGACAGCTGTTTCGTCCTAGTTTGGGACTCTTCAGCATTACACACCCACCGGGATTCGAAACAGGGACCTTCTGGATTACAAGGCTAGCTCGTATACCATCAAGCCACTGGCACCCGATCCAATGGCCCATGAATTCTAACTTCTGCCAATTCACGACATAGAGCAACCCCTAGCCAATGTGTTCAGCGAGTATTTGTCCTTACACCCGACCTGCTGCACCCTACTCATGAAAATAAAGCAGTATCAGATGGCTTCACAGTCAAGTGAGTGATAACATAGAGACAAGTAGCTAGTCAGAATCTGAGTGATTCTAACTGATTCGGCACCCCGGATCCTATTCTATCTGATTATAGCGCTAGTGGACATGTTCCTAAAAGGGTCAAATTATCGTCTGCCGCTAAAATCGCCTCTCTCTGGTTAGCATGCTCTACTAGTCGGTGTAGATGGCTTCCAACTATTCATATCACCCAGTGGTATATACTATTATAATGAAATAATAAATTGTATGAAACGACTTACTTTAATACAGAAAAATAATGAGAAGGGAAATGTGATCAAAATGAATAAATATGCGATGGTGACTAGTATGGCACTGCATATTCCATATTCACCAGATTTTCTTGATGGATCTGTTCAATGCAAGAAAAACAAATATGATGAAAATGGATAAGATGATTATTAATATTTTATGTTTCATTGATATATTTATCTTTCTTTTGGATTATTAACCGGGATTTTACTCGTATCACATGTGTAGTCACTAGCGTTATAACTGACTACATTTTAACATTAAAGTTTGCAATGCAGTCACCAAACCGAAAGGTTCGTCATCGTGGTCCATACTTATGGTTGGATGAATGGAGGTGACCAATCATTTTCAATGTCACTTCCCTACATGAAGTTTGTTGAGGGCTCGGACTGCTCACTAGTAAAGTCTCTGAATGCAGCATCGTGCAACATAGATTCAAGTCTTAAAGACGACACTGATTTCCCTGAGGTTGCAGGTATGCCATGTTAGTGAGTGTAAATAAGCAAGAAATCCGGGTCTAGAGCTTCTTACCAACTATCTCCAGTTGTCTAATAAGAATTTTTGCAGTATAAAAAAAAAACAAATCAAAATTGCAGTTTGAAAATTGCACAATTCTAGATGGAATTTTCCACAATATGCTTTGGTAACCAAGAGTATTGATACGGCGACACATTATCTGTTTCATCCCGTAAACAGCGGCCAACGGTAGTGCTGGCTAGTCACACCGAAATTATTTAAGCACCAGATGGTTGATTCCTTCGTTTTGGGCCGGACTTATCAGCGGTGTATCTGATATGGTTCAGTTCAGACAGCCGAATCATTTCAAACCATCCTAATTCAGGTCAACTGCTTAATAAAAACCGGTTATACACCACTACTCATAATATTATCCTTTCTTTCTGTTCCTTTGCCATAATAAGATAAGAAAAAAAAATACCTATAAACTTTTAAGGACATAAGAAACACATGCATTTTGACTTATACAATCTCTATTCTACATTGTACTTCACTTTTTGATGCTTTATATCAAATTTCATTCAGCTAATTAAATAACTACTAGCTAATCTGCATTTCAATTACAGAAGAAGTTTATAAGATTAAGGCGGAAAAACAAAACAAAAAACAAAACGAGATTAAATGAATGCAGCTTGTTACAGTCTTAAGGTTAAAGTATTAGACATGGGTTATTGCTTCTTAGTAATAGTAATCTTCAATAGATAATAAAGTTAACTTTTTTTTTCTAATATAAGAACCACCAACTGAGTAAGATATGCGGTAGTGAATTCATCTCTCTGTCCCTCTTTGACATATCCTCCATATATTTAGAAGGTTGAATAAATCATAAAGGAATAATAATAATAATAAGAAGAAAGTAGCGTAAAACGAGTATGATTTATTCATTACATGCAGTTTCTTCATATTGTAAATAATTAATTAAATAAAACGAAAAACACAGACATTGAGTTCTCCTCCATATTACTGATCAACGAAGTCTTGTCAAGTGAAAGCAAGCTGAGTTATGGTCCATTGGCCGAGATGCTCAATTTTCACCTACCGGGTAACGGGTTCGAAACCCTGTCCACCTACCGACATTTGAGAGACCAGATAGGATCTATAGGCTTCACATGATAGGTGTGGCTGATTGCCAACTGCATGGAAGTGCTAGTGGTTGTTGAGTACTCTGAGTTTACAGGCACGATTCGGTCGGTCGGTCGGTCGATTTTTGACATAGAACTTTGCACATATGTGCGGCAGTTCAAGTCACCACACTGCATGTAGTACACAAAGCAAGAGAAGAAAGTAGAAGAAATGCATAATATAGACAGTAAACAGAGGTATGAAGCAAAAAGAATAGTAATATCAAAGAACAACATAGTTTCATTGGAAATCATAAGTCACAAGGAGTGGATGCATCTGCACTATTGAGAACGATTTTGAGCTATATCACCAACTCTTTCCAACCATTGGTTTATACCGTCCCGAGGACCCCAACCAGGAAGTCTACATCTTCCTACGTGGCTTAGACTAACTGTTGTGGATTTCATTGACTGGTGCCATGTTTTGGTTTGACCGCCGCTAGCTCTTTTCCAGCCTGACCCTGTATCAGCTAATATTGCCCGTCGAGGAAGGCGATGACTAGGCATACGTAACACATGTCCTAACCATCTCAGTCGATGTAATTTCACAGTCTCGTCGACTGATTTTCCCGCCTTACCTAGCACTCGACCGATGCCTAACCTCAATATTGCTCACCTTATCATACCACTTCACACGGGAGATAGAACGCAGACACCTATGATCGAAGACAGATAATCTTTTCATGTCTTCCGCTCTCAATGGCCAGGTCTCACAGCCATAAAGGAGGACGGAGCGGACTGATGAGCAGTACACACGCCCTTTGGTCGATAGCCAGTCGGATATCACGTCTACGCCAGAGACGGTGTAAACTGGCATATGCGAAACTAGCCCTGTGTATCCGTGCTGAGATTTCGTCAGAGATCAACCCGTTGGGGCTGATGGTACTTCCCAAGTAAGTGAAGCGGTCAACGTGCTCTACCACTTCACTTCCTATTTCTAATCTAGGGGTCGGTGAAGTCCAATCCTGCAGCATCATCTTACATTTTACAGGGGCGAATCGCATGCCAAACATACGAAGATTGTTGCTCAAGGTGTTCAGTAGACTCTGCATTTTGTCAGCGTCCTACAGGCACGATTACCTAGGCTATATGACACAATTACTGTGAGAGAGATAATCACACTAACCAGATGCCTAGGCTAAAGTGATATTAGTCATATTTGAACTTGATATTTATTTGGATTAAAGTCAGATATTTAAGCTAATAAACCACTTCATCAATTCGGATAGTCATTAACAGTGGTACAGAATAACTGCAATTAAAGTAAATAGATAGAACTGTAGACATTTCCAGGTGTTGTTTTGTAGGGTTATGTTTTATTTCAGGGTAGACTTTGTCACAAACTGACATCTTTTAAAAAAATATCAAAACCCAAGGAGCACTGGACACCCGTCTCCCGGAGTTCTAATGAGAATTGGTAACCGGTAGAGTACACCAAGATGTTCATCCATGACACGGTCCGTTTATTTTTGAGTGCACGTAGTATTGTTGACGTAATAATAATTCGCCTCATTAGATTCGTATGGCTAGCAGTCTGACAGACCGAATTACCGGTTATATCACTGTGATTGAGAGCTAGACTTAAGACACATGTACATACAAAGTCTCAGTTTGAAATTGTTTTTTTTCACTGTCTCTAGCTAATACCTATTCATGATAAAAAAAAACCACTTTGAAACCTAAGAATCTCCTTCCCCTTTGCTTTCAGGAAACTTCTTAAGCGAATATTTCACTTTGCTGTTTAAAATCGTAGCAATGACATATTGAAAACTTGGTGTGATTTAGAAAATAAAATCCTCCACCAAACAATAAACAAATTCCCCCCTTATTTGATGATTACGCTATCAAGAGAAAATAAAATATCTTAACGGTTTATTGACCTGAACCCATTGTGGTATAATAATCTATATGCTTAAGCTGCTAACCTTGAATTTGGGTTTTGAAATGAACATGATTTCCATATGAACTGATAATGACAGACACGTGTCGTTAAAACAAGATAGTTAATGAACGCCTTTGATGTGAATTCAAATAAGTTAACACTTGGTGTTTGTTTGTGTGTGTGTATGTTAGTGTGTTATATGTGAGAAATGGAAAGTATGTGTACTGTTTATCTGTTCTTATATATGTGAATACAAGTGTACATGTGTTGGAAGAGATAAATCTCACTATTTCAAATCGGAATAAATAGGCGATTGTGGTTTCTACTTATAATTGATTTAGGTCAATAGGCTGTTCCACATCCACCTCCCACACCATTATAAATATATATATATATGCACTAGTCATTGAATAGATAAAAGCGGCGTCGGCAGTGTGCGTGTGTCTATCTGCCTGATGAATGAGATGCGTGGGGTGGAGGACGGGAATGAATGAATAAACAACTCAGTGGTTTCATTTCAAATCTCATTTAAATTTACTATGTTAAATATGTTGACCTGGAAATCATTGTAAGTACTGAAACAAGATGATGGAATATACTACTTATTTTATGTATGTTTTTCTAGGAAAACTTTTTCTGTTCTTCCTTATTTTCTTTGAATTTTTGTTTGAATCTACACAGACACACAGGTCGAAAGAAATGAGGGAAATTATATACTCTTAGCGTTAGCTGATTCGAATCCTAAGCTGACCTAAATTTACGTGTTTGTGGGTTTTTGTCAAAGGACTGACAAGCACCAGAAAGCACTGCACAACTGTTTCAGCAGTGCAAACACAACGATTCCATAAGGGATGAAAATAAGACATTGAGATAAGGAGGCGAGCATGTTAACATTAAACAATTTGATTAGAAATCAGCAAATAAACTTTATTTCTCAGCCTATCACATTAATGTTAACCCCCTCAATGTAATATATCCTAGTCACATAGAAATGCCCACAAGCAAACCTATATACAAAAAGCTTCTACGAATATCACCACTGTCTTCTTTCATCCTTCATTCATTGAGTTCTGAATGGAATATAGGTCTCCAGGCTTGAAGCCTTGAAGTTTCGGTGACTGTGGTGTTGTTTTCACAGAGTGTGGTTACTAGCCTCACATCTAACTTTCTCTGTTTTACTAGTGTACTGTCAGCTGGTAAACTAGACGAGGTGCGTTGACTGGGGATTGGAACCTAGACCGTGTGCGTGGTTGGCAAGCATTTTACTACTAGACTATCGATGCTTCATTCAGTCAACACTAACATAGTTAAGAATCATTTCACTAAATACTACCGTATCCAACCCTTGTAACACAAATCAGGGTCAATTTCGTGACTAGTCGAAATGGTTTACAGAAATACTGAGGGCTAAAGTTCTAATAGTTTATACATCAAAGATCGAACGAACAGTACTAATGTTATGAAGTGAATCTCTAACTAGTTTTGATCGGAGGGTAGCAATTTGACTTACTAGCTAAATATAAGGTAGCATGTTCGCCTTGTCTATCAATTCCTAGTGAGGTCGTAGATGCTTATAACCGA